TGACTCAAGGGAATTTTCAGCAAACGCTCAGGACAGCTCATAACACATAATCGAAGACGAAAAAGGTGAATGTGAGCTGGGCATTGGCTTACGGTTTTTCGGAAACCTTCTGAAAAACCTCAGAGCATCAGTGTTCTGCTGGATCACTTTTTCGGCGTGGTCAATAACATATGGCACCTTTTAAGCCTTTCCTGAAAATTTCGTTGAGTCAGTATGAGATTTGATCGAGATATAAGGATTTTAATTTTTGCTAGTAACAGGTGAAAAACCGGTTTTTCACAACAATGCCTCTGACGAAGTTATATTCATTTCTACACAAAAACAAATGTTGCTACTATGCTCAGCGTAGTCGATTAACTATAGTCCATGGCATTTTGAGATTCCCAGAGATGTCTGCTCTGAGATAGACACGTGCTCGAGGAAAGCGAGCCCTGCTCGAACGACGATAGCTAGAGAGCCGGGACCTGCATAATTTTGTAGAGTAACGTCGGAACTATCTACGCATGCAAAAAAATTACTAACATTGTATATTAGTTGTCTGAGAACGGAGCTGATTTTCCAAAGATCCTCTGAAAACCCAATCTCTAGAATTTTTTCAAAAGTTGCTTCCGCTTGTGAAAAGTTCTGCTCAAGTCTTGGCTATTGGGCAGCGAAAATCGCAGGTCTCTATCTCATTCCTATCAAAAGTTATTCAAAAAGCAACCTTCGGTCTGACCATTTGGAACGGATAGTAGTTAGAGATCATTGATCCTGTAATTTAATACCCTTTTGATCATAAAATTCAATTAAATAATTGTGTACATTATAACCAGTGCTCCGTACAATTGTATCAACTTTATATTCTTTATCATTACATGTGGCAACACCATGTTCATTTATTTCTTTGATACTGTCTGTGATTAACTGAACATTTGGTTTTTGGATGGTTGGATACCAATCGTTAGTAACAAGTATGCGTTTACAACCTATACAAAATAAATTTTTTAAAATTAAATGGAAATAAACCAGTGTCGAGTTATACATCCTAAACGAGCTAAATGATCTAAGAACACGTATCTGTATCGATTTACTATACAGATAATCTCAAAACAAACGGATATTTGATTTTTTGGTGCATGGTACAGAGACCGAAACGGGTCAAACAAACGTCACCCGAACCAGACTCGACCCGAACGTGAGTTGACCCGAATTCGACTCATCTCATATCAATACCTTATACATTGGTCCGAACCCGACCCGATCCAAACGGACCCAAAAATTTTGCAACTGTGATCCGAACTTAACCCGAAACACGAAAATGTTTTCGTATACATTCGCAAAGAAACATTTCTTTCCTATAGAAAAGTTATCTTAGTCAGATTGTTTTGAAATTTTTTCAAAAATATGATCAGGTTTCTCACAGTTTTTTTCCTTTTATGAGTGGACAAGTTTGGGTAATTCAGGCAGTTTATTTTATACGGACCTGAGTTAGATCAAAACGGGTCAATCAAACGTGACCTGATTCGATCCGTTTCGGTCTCTGGTATGGTAGTGAAAGAAGTATCAAACAAAGGATCAAGAAAAACTTGGTTATACTTAAAGAGGGTAGTAATCGAGATTATACTCTAAAAAACATGTATATGTTACTAAATCCAGAAAAACTGAGTTTCAAAGAGTAAAACCTTTATTAAAATTAAAAACGTGTCGAAACCATCTTCAGAAACCGTGGAGTCTAGGGACAGACAGATTGTGATATGATTTAGAAACTGAATAAAATACTCTTTTGGATATCATCCTACTTAAACGTCTCGTCTGGAGTACAGTATTCTAAAATGTTCTTTGATTCAACAAGATACGTTAAGAGCTTTTTTAAAACAGCTACGAAATTTTTTTCGGTTAATAACTAAAATAAGAAACCGTTTTCAAAGAAAAAGTAATTTTTGCAAATGAATCCCTCTGATAAAGCAACAGAATTGTAATGTACCATTCAATTCCCGAAATGGAGACTTTAGAAAAAATGTATTACTGAAGTATTTGTCAGTACAAAAAGTCGGTGGATGTGACTATTTTTTGAATAACTAGAGAACAATCGAAAGAGGACAGCTTAGTCTATATTTTCATCAGCAAAAACAGTTTTTTAGAAAATTTCTAAAGCCACCTTTTCATAGGATGTCTGGAAAAACAGTTTTTAAGTCGAACGTCTGACATAGCAATCTATCTAGTTTATTTCATAGATAGATAGTCCAAATTGTCTTCTACAAAATAAGATCTAAATAAACGTTCCATTTTGCTCAGTTCGGTGGTTTCAGACGTTTTTGTCAAAGTACTGCGACTTCTTTGTTCTTTGTCCGGGACTTTAAAAAATATATGAACCGTAGGTTGTCGACCACGCTGAATCTCATGGCAATGTTAGTTTTCAAAACAAAATGTAAGAGCTGAGTGAAAATTTGTACTAGGTAAAACGACGCAGTTTTGGTTATTTTCATCAAAAAAAAAATTAAAAATTCATAACTCGGTTAAAGTTCATTCAAACGGCTTGTCCACGTAACGCAGCACTTCGCTGATCAAGTTTTTTTGAATTATTTTGGATTTAGTATCTCTGACGAACATATATATATATATATATATATGAGAAAGATTGAGTAGCAGAAAAGTCAATCAAGATATTATCAAAGTGTACTGCTTGTCCTACCTGCTGGTCTGAGTACATGTGAAAAAGCTCATCTCTTTACTTTCTAAAGATTGACGTTGAACATACAACAATGAAAAATAAGTTTGGCTGTTGCTACGTCACTTTTAAGACTTGTCACACATTCTCGATTTTCACAATATATGCGACACAAAATTATTTAGAGCGTATCTATAACAGTATATGGGAAAACCTTTTAAACCCTCTTAAGACTACAACAAACAACGCAAACAAAGATTATTCGTCATTTCTGTACGCCTTGTTCTCAGCAGATGCTTACCATAATGATATATATACTACTGAAAAGCCCATATGCAACTTTTCTTTGTCTGGTTAAGAGTTCTTTTCATGAAAATGTGAAAGGTGAATCAGTAGTTTTTCAAATGAACACTGATTTATAATTCTTTGTGAAATACTTATGAAATAAATGACTAGAAGAAGATGTATGGAAACTACAATAAGTCAGTAGTCCGACCCGTTTAGCTTTAGAGTACATGGCACCACAGTTTTGAAAGTGATTAGAAAAGCTGTATCATGTTATGTTTCATTTCCTTTTATAGTATTTAAAGTCTATTTTTTGAATTCTGTCAAGTGTAATTTATCTAGTGGTCAAGCATTTTTACGATATTGTAACATTCGTCCCTTATAACCTATATCTGAAACAATATTGACAATCATGTCGATGAAAAAACCACACATTGAGGCCAAAAAAAGAGTACAAGAAAGACGACGATTAGCATGGATTTTCTCGCAAATTCTAAGGATAAAATCGTGTGTGTTCGATTTTGCGATGATGCGACGAGCAGTCTCGATGATTGTGAACGCTCATGAAATACACGACGTTATAGCTGATTGTTCAATTGTATTTGTGGAAGATGTTTTAAATGAATTAATAGCTGATGATGAAAACTTTATGAAGTATTCGGCAACATCGGCATACGTGACAAGTTTTCCCAACAATGTGCCGGAAAGATTGGCGAAGCATGATACCGACGTTACTGAATATACAAAAAATACATTTACAATTGATAAAGATGTTCAGCAACGATTAAATTCAAGTGCAAGAGAGCAGTTAGATCGAATCGAATTTTACAAACTTCATCATCCGTATTGCAACACAAATATGGAAACGACGAATATACTGGCTGATTCAAAAAAACAAAAGTATATTCTATAGGTATTTGACAGATAATTGTCTTACGTGTTTCTTTTTATATAGATTTTTTTGATATCTCAATCCGGATGTCGAATTATATCCTAATCGGGATATATATTCCGATGCAGATATAGCTATATTCCGATCAGGATAGAGAAAATAATTAATATCCCGATCGGGATATAAAACTCAAAATTTTGTTGTAAAACGATTAACGGAAAAATAACGACGTTTTGGCGAAAAATTGACCTCATCATTGGAAAGAGCTCGAAAACCTACATCGGATTCTGTTGTATTTGAACAGAAGTGCATCAAGCACCCAGAAACTATTTTTTCGAACAAGAACCGAAATTGTTTGAGACAATAATTTAAGATCCCATCTTGAGACGATGTACACTATTAGTTAGAAGGCTACTAAATGTTTTCGCGCGTGACTTTTTCTGCCCACATCGTTGCTTTTCTCTTTTTCTATTATACACAAATTTAATCGTGATATCTTCGTCTGCATAGAAAAGAGTAAGCTGTCACATTTTCAAGGATACAGTTTTGATACATTTACGCGTGCAAGAAAACCTCCTGTGCAGCAATTGCATGACGCACTCTTTCCAGGTGATCAGATTATTCGTGTATGATGGTAGTGTCACAAAGCAGAGTTTGAAGTGTTTTCCGTCTTATATTATTATTCGTGTGACGTATATCATTCTCCATATAGAGAGATAACTGGAACAGGAATCTGTGTTACATGGCTTGAGAGGTCACTGACTAAATAGGGTTGGCGAATTAACCGTATTATGCCACTTTTATGAACATGCGCTTCAAACTGCGCTAACCAGGTTATTCTTGCATTCCTTAAAAAGACCGACAGAAAACTTATTAAACAAGACACCGCAATAACAGTATTGCTGCACATTGACTGTCTTGCACATGTAAATGTATCAAAATTGTATCCTTGAAAATGTGACAGCTTACTCTTTTCTATCCCGACAAACGTATCACATTTTCGCCCATAAAATTCATGTATAATACAAAAAACGAAAAGCCACGATGTGGGCAGAAAAAAGTCATGCACGAAAATATTTCGCAGGTGTACTAACTAATAGTATATATAAACACTATCAAAATACTGTAGATGGTAATAAGCAACAGAAAGAATATTTCAACCTGACAAAATGATGAAAATCGCAACCATCGTCGTCATTTCAATAGTAACTATGATCAGCCAGAAAACCTACTTTGTTTCATCATTTCTGTAATTTAGGCGCTCGTGTGCTACGTATCCAGCGCAGCAACCAATAAAGGCGATAACAGCGGTAATGGACATAACGGTGAAACAGGTTTAGGCGGTAATAGACATAATGGTGGAAAAGGTTCTGGCGGTAATGGAACTACCATTGGATACAGCTCAAGCGCTCCTGGACATAATGGTGGAAAAGGTTCAGGCGGCAATGGAAATAACGGTGGAAAAGGTTCCGGCGGTAATGGAAATAACGGTGGAAAAGGCTCAGGCGGTAATGGAAATAACGGTGGAAAAGGTTCAGGTGGTAATGGAACTACCAATGGATCCAGTTCAAATGCTCCTGGAAATAATGGTGGAAAAGGTTCAGGTGGTAATGGAAATAACGGTGGAAAAGGTTCAGGTGGTAATGGAAATAATGGTGGAAAAGGCTCAGGCGGTAATGGAAATAATGGTGGAAAAGGTTCAGGCGGTAATGGAAATAATGGTGGAAAAGGCTCAGGCGGTAATGGAACTACCAATGGATCCAGTTCAAATGCTCCTGGAAATAATGGTGGAAAAGGCTCAGGCGGTAATGGAGATAATGGTGGAAAAGGCTCAGGCGGTAACGGAAGTAACAATGGATACAGTTCAAGCGCTCCTGGAAATAATGGTGGAAAAGGTTCGGGCGGTGATGGAAGAAACAACAGACACAGTTCAGGCGCTCCGGGAAATAACGGTGGAGAATATTGAGGGGATCAGTGTTAACACCAAGACTCGTGCAATGTGTGCTTATGATGTATTTATTCATCTGTATCAAACAGAACTGCAGATTTGTTTCATCCGTACTTGTTTTACATTTGAAAATAGTTATGGCTATAGCTGATGTTTTCTATAGCGTACATTAAAGAAACAGTTGGTATCTTAGAGTAGTTAATAATACAGCCTAAGCCCTATTCTACTTTACTGCACCATTTTTTCTATTGTTCAAACTTTTTTTGTTTTGTATCTCTTTTTTACTGGGAATGACCCAGACGAGTTCTTTGTTGAACTTTTGTCATTACCGCGTCATTTTATTAACATCACAGACTAAAATAAAATTGAAATTGAAGTTCATAAAAGAATATCAGGAGACCTTGGATAACCTACGTGATTATTATGAAAGATACTTCGAAGCTCCAATACATGATCCTGGTAATGCAGTTCATACTGAAGCAACAGAAGCATATAAAGATGTTTTTTATAGGCTAGATATCCCGTTAAATATGATCACAATGGACGAAGTGGAAAAAAATTGGAAACGAGCACAGAAGAACAAATTAGTGATAGCCGCAGTACATCAGCATTTGTATTAAAACAGCTACTAATTGAATACTTACAATTAGATGGAATGTAACCAGCAGTGAATCGACTCCAGCCTATATCTCGGCTGTCAAAGTTTGGAAAATTGTTTGAGACAATAATCTAAGATCCGATCTTGAGACGATGTATACTATTAGTTAGATGTTTTCGTGCAATAAGTTTCCTGCAATAAGTAATTAGTATCCCGCTCGGGATATAAAACTCAAAATTTTGTTGTAAAAACGGTTAAGGGAAAAATAACGATGTTTTGGGGAAAAATTGACGTCAACATTAGAAAGAGCTCCAAAACCTACATCGGATTCTGTTGTGTTTTGAACAAAAGTGTGAAAAAAACAATTTTTAGTCGAATTCATATACGATCGAAAAATAGGTGATTAATCTTTTATTGCGCATAATGGGATATACTCTTGATCTAATCGCTTTCCACAGCGACCGTCTTTCAACTTGAGGAAATAAAAGACAATACTAGGAACGTTAGAGTGGCGCAATAAAGAAGAAGAAGAGGAAGCAAAATATTCAACTCTCATATAATTGAAATTTATCATTTTCTTACAAATTCAAAATTAAAATTTTCGATATCCTGATTTGGATATAGATGTTTTTGATATCTCAATCCGGATGTTGAATTATATCCTGATCGGGATATAATTTCAAACTATATCCCATTCGGGATATAAAAAAAAGTTTGCTGTAAAAATGATGTGCTGATCGGGATATATATCCTGATGGGGCGTACATCTCAATCGGGATATGTCTCCATACTACCAGGGGAACAAACAAATTCTGTAAAATGGAAGGGTAAAACATCAGATCACAATGCAAAGAGAGCTGCACCTGCTGCGACAAGAACAAAAGAATCAGAAATTGCATCACTTGTATTATAAGATGTTACAACCATTAGATTCACATTGAGTAAATCAATCACATCAATATTATCTACGTTAAACTATCAAAAGACCATGCATTCAACATGTAGGTGTATGACAATATATAGCAATATGAGAATAAACTTGAAAGAACTTGAAAGTTTATTTTATGCCCAAGAAAACATCTCGTAACAAAGGAAAGCGCAAAAAGATCAAAGGCTTGAAAATGCAGTACCACCACGCGAAAAAGAGAACAGCCGCGAGAAGAGGGTGTAGAAGAAATATGTTTCGTATCCGATTCTGAACAGTTGGATCTCAACGTATCAAATTCATGTTTAGACATCTTTGCATGCAATATTCCCGTGATCTACTTCCCGTTGTGTTTAATATACTGATATCACCGTACATTCAACATTAATTTAGTTTAATTTCACAACCGCTCATCAGGTACTCAACAGAATTCATTTCTGAAAGAATCAAAAGAAGATATCACGATCGGTTTCGATCTTTACCAAGGGTCTCGTTAGGTGGTTACCTTCGTGAACGACAGAGTTAAGGCACGACAAGCAACACGCCTCCGTCCACACCGTGTGAGGTTTTTCTCCTTAAAACAACATTTATTTAAAGTGAATAATGCTACGTGATACAATATGGTTAATCTTAAAAATCCATCGTAATATTGCGGATAGTGTAAGATATGAACATAAAACAGACAGTAAAAATTGACGTTGTACAAAGGATAATAAGACACGATAACATAATCATCGCTACATTTGATAAAACCAAAGATTGAGAGACTCCTGTGGAGGTCTCTGCCCGTTCACAGTCACTAATCCTTTTTAACAACGAATTACATTAATACGGGATAGTTACTTTAATACAAGTACAGCAGAAACTCTTATCTTAAGAATAATATCAGTTAACCATTCTCGAAAGGGATACCGTTAATGGATGAAACAAACCATCTCGTCACCATATCTGTCCTTTTCAAGGCTTTGTCCAAAAGTACGATATTTCGATAAGTCCAAATTATTTTGATGAAATGTGATGATTATGTGTCTGTTGAACGTAAAATTAACCAAACTGTTCTCTTTTTCACGTGGTGGTACTTAGGGATGTTAATTTAGTTTTATTGTTCATTTATAATAATGGATAAAAGTAAATGAATCATTTACACTTAAAGGATAAAGATAAATTCGTCATTTATATTTAAAAAATAAATATAAATAAATCAGAAAAAAATTTATCTTTATTTTATAAAAGTAAATGATTCATTTATATTTATTTATTTATTTCGACCTTTATTTGTAGAAATAAATAAACAAATATAATGAATGATTTACTTTTCTAAAATAAAGATAAATTTTTTTTAATTTATTTATATTTATTTTTTAAATATAAATGCCGAATTTATCTTTATCTTTTAAGTGTAAATGATTCATTTCCATTTATTTTCCAAAGTAACACTAAATTAACACCCCTAGTGGTACTGCATTTACAAGCCTTTGATCTTTTTGCGCTTTCCTCTGTTACGAGATGTTTTCTTGGGCATAAAATAAACTTTCAAGTTCTTTCAAGTTTATTCTCATATTGCTATATATTGTCATACACCTACATATTGAATGCATGGTTTTTTGAATCTATTTCATATTCTAATGGAGAACGCATGGAATATCGTTTTGACAGAAATGCTTCTGTTTTTTTCTATCTAGCATCTATCATGTGTAATTAAATCTAATCGACTTGTGATTTTAATATAAGCTAACGTAATCTAGTAGTTCCGTCAAATTCTCACTAAAGGTTTAGCATTTTTTTAGCATACACGGATTTTCCTCGACCATAGGTTGGGAAGTGAAGCGTTTTTGGAGGTGCCAGGATAACGAAAGGATATAACTTATAACTTACTTTTAGATTAAGTCCCACTGGATAGCCAAGTGGGGCTTAAGTAAGCCTTTGGCTTAGTCAATATTTTCTTCCACACACAAGTTTGAGTAGCCGGCCTAGGTCAGTCGGTCAGATTGACAAAAATGATGTTACGACAGGAAAGAAGCAGTTTATCATCCATTTTTCTCAGCATGGGAAAGTAGTAGAAGAGTCGGGTTTTCGCCCGTAAATAGATCACTGTCTTAGTTAGTTACAGTGATATTAAGACTCTTCGCTCTAGTTCCTACTGGGTTTCGAAAGGGTTTCCTAAAGTCGGCCGGTTTTTAGTGCAACAAAAGTGATGGCACAAACTTATTATTTGTCTTAGAACTCCTTTATTTTAAAAGGTGTTAGGCAAAAAAACAGTTCATCTGAAAAGAAAAATCGCCAGCTATCCAACGGAAAAAACAATTTTCGAAAAATTGGCACAGCTATCACTTTATAAAACGACTGCGTGACGAGAGAAAATCTTTTATTTTGATAATGTCGCGTGTACGTTTTCTTAATTATTTGTATTCGATATATTCGTCAAGCGAGAGCACTTGAAATAAAACAGAAGATAAAACATGAATTAGAAATATTTTTTAACAGATATCAATACTGTCGTGCATCTTATTCGTATTGGGTTTTTCAACTGTCATATTCTGATTTATGGCTATTATCATTGGAAAAGAGGATCCTCTAGCCTATGAACTGAGTCTCATAACCGTGGCGATTTCGATTGGTTGTATTAGTTTTTGGTTCTAACGACAGATGTACAAAAGATTTTTATTCAATTCTTGACGAAACAGGAACAACAAAGCATGAACGCGAACAAATAATAGAATTCGACGAATGAACTAGATAAACTAGAAACAAACTGTTTCTTTCTTGATCTTCTTCTGAGAATGACAACATCTACTTTTTAAGAATGTGCGCATTATTGGTATTTTGAACATATTCATCTATCAGTTATCTGTAATAGTGCTTTAAATCAATCAACCTTAGTGATTTTGTATCAAAATTTAAAATAATTAATAAAAAAAATCGTGAGCGCTAAAGCACGTTCACAAATATGATTTCTGGAAACGTTCGACTTTGCAATTCGAGAAGACAAGGGTTATCAGCTATTATTGATACTCCACGTTTTAAGCTAGAAGACGATCTCGAAAAAGACTACGAAAATTTGTTCAGAGTATATTTGTAGCATCGCGATGACTCTGTACTAAAAGAGCGTTATGCCGACTTCTTTAGAGAGAAGATGCCGACATTGTTGTGAATAAGGACGGTACTGAAATGCCAGTAAAAGATGTTGTTCGAATTAATCAATTACATTATGAAACCAAAATTAATAAAGAACTGCAAGAAGCGTATGAGAGCTAAGCGATGATAATTTACAAGAAAATAAATGGGAAGATTATGTACAGAAACGGAACAAGAAACAGAAGAGGATAAAGGAAAAATTACCAAAAAATACAAAAAACATATTGAATTAGAAGAATTATCCCAACAAAGTTTGAGAGCAGTACAATATAATCGCTGATAAGACAGTTAACAGAAGAACAGTTGAACATATTTTATTATGTTCGAAATTGGTAGAATAGCCCGTATCAAGTACATGCG